ATCTGTTAAAAATTGTTACATATATTTTTTTAAAAATAAATATGATAATATCATTATATAATATAATAATATAAATATAATACTAATATACAATCGAAAATTGTGTGCATGCAGTGGATCAATGAGTCACCGCCTTAGGGTTGATGTTTAGCTATGCTGTTTAGTGTTCATTCCCAATTGGGGAACTTCAACAATGATACAAAATTTGCCCATAACTGGTTCCCTTAGCCTTAATGAGATTGCATCAAGTCGATAACTGTTGTAAAAATCCCCACAAAACACTGTAAGGTAGAGCTAAACCAATTACCTGGAATAGAGGCTTAAGAGATGATGATAAAATCAAAAATTTATTTGGTTTTAGGTTGCAAAATCTATTATAGTACATTTTCTATCTGTTTAAAAACATTTAATCTTTTAATTTTTACTACTTTGATGCGTATGCATAAAAAAAAGCAAAGCGGGGTCGCAGCAAAGTTGAAACAAGTATATATAGATAATATTTGACAGTGATTAAAATCACTTCGATGAAAATATCTAGATATTGTTTCATTTTTAGCTACGATGCGAAGCTGAGAAAGTATTGGTTTTACTATGATGTGTTTTTTTTTGTGTCTGTTACCACTTTTTCTCAGCTCTTACCGAACGGATTTCTTTCAACGATACGTCAAAAGATCACAAATTGTATCTAATCGAAGACATTACCCTTAAAAATTGAAAAAATTTCCCTCATTCCCCGTAAATGAGGGAAACCTCCAAAAAAATTATAAATTTAAAAATCGCTAATTTTCGAAATTTCTTCAGTTTTTTTTACTAAAAACTGCCGTAACTTTTTCAAAAATGAACATATTAATATAATTTTTTTTTATAGATGCTTGATGTATTTACCTATCATTTGGTATATTTTTTTGTAAATTTGACCCTTTATCTGCCCAGGGGGGGGATTTAAAATGACAACTTTTTCAACATAATTTTTGAAAGTGTTCCGGAAGGTTTGATACTTTTATATATATCTTAAATTAAAGCTAATGTAATGTACTTTATTATGAAAAAAAAGAATTTGACCTCTGGACTTGTCTTCATGGTAAATACGGTTCTACCGAATGCTATTTTTGTGTGAAAATTCTCAATTTTAACTTTATAATGCTATAACTTATTCAAAAGTGTATGGACCAATACAATTTTTTTATGAGAAATATTATTTATATCCCTCTTTTATTCGACATAATTTATCTAAATCAGGATATAAATAAGAAAATAGTAGATCATGTAGCTTTTGGAATAATACACCAATTTTTTAAAATTAAATACTATCTAAAGATTTGCATCGAAACGTTTTTTTTTTATAGTGATTTTAATCACTGTCAGATATCATTATACTTGATCCAACTATGCCACGTCACCACTGTGCCGCGACCCCCCTGTGCTGTGTTTTTTAAAATCTATTGTTGAATTATTCAAAAAGTAACATAAAGTTCTGTTTACATAATTATACCTTGATTACAAGTTTTATGATGTATAAGTATAATATATCAATAATTTATTANTATATAAGTGTAATATATCAATAATTTATTATTTTAGTTATTAAATTAGTATGAAATTAATAATCGATAATTTAATAATGTAATTTTTACATAGATACTATAAAAATTAAAGCATTTTTTTAGTTCGTTACTTCTATAAAATAGAAATTTAACCTTCTTATTCCATTATTTTGACTTTTGTTAGTTAATTATTTAAACTTTGAAATTTATCATAAGTCATTAATACCTTAACATTTTTTTTTTTTTAATTAGTCTTTATCCTTTTGTACTTTTATACTTATATACTTCTTTGGATGGACATTATAATCTGCATAAATTTGCCTTGAAAAAATGTATAACTAGTACTTAAATCTTATTATTTTTTTTTGTACTTGGGAAAAGTTAAATGAAATAACATTTTTTGTTTAACTTACTGTATGTAACAATAACTTTAATTTAAAATATGTGTAGAACTTGTAGTATTTTNTACTGGATGTAACAATAACTTTAATTTAAAATATGTGTAGAACTTGTAGTATTTTTGTAACATTTTCGAAAGTTAAGAAGAATAAGTTTTCAAACAAAAATCTTTATTTCTTATTTTTTAACTCCCCCCTGTGGGCAGTTAAAGGGTCAGATCTTCAAAAAATATGAAAGTGAGATACCAAGGTCTTTATAAAAAAAATTTCGTTTGAATTCATTCAAACAGTTTCCAAAACATATGGCAGAATTAAGTAAAAATGTTAAAAGTAACTGATTTAAAAAATCGTATTTTTTTCACTTTTTGAGGGTTATATCTTCAATTAGATACAATTTCGACGTATCGTTGATAAAAATCGATCTAATGATTCTTGATAAAACCTAGTGACAGACACAAAAAGTATTTAAATAAATAAATAAATAATCATTGTAAAATTAATACCATCTCAGGTTTGCATCGAAACTAAAAAACTAACATATCTACCAAAAATTACATAATTTACGACTTGAAAAGCTTATTATTCATAGAAGACAAATCGTCGAAAAGTCTTTATTTATAACCGTATGGCACATTAAAAATTGAAAAGATAAAAATCGTGATATGATTTTTAAGTTCTCGCAGAACTTTGATTAATGGTTGAATCTTCAAAAGAGCTTATTGTCAAAAAGGCAAATTGAAATTTTATCAATAAAAAATTTGCAATATTCCGTCAAGTTATCAAAAAGTTATTTCAATATAAAGTGAAAAATATAAATGAAGAGTGAATGTGTCAAACGTTCTATGTGCCAAAAAAGTGAAAAATTGTTTTATTTCTGATTTATGTTCTATGTGCCAAAGGCCACAATCTTGTATGTGTTTCAATGTTAATTAAATTTTTTACTTGTACAAAATTGCATCATAGATGGTGTTCGATATGTGAGCCATGCCCATGTTACCATTGTTTTTTGTGTTTTCTGAACAAATAAGTTTTTGGCACATAGAACGTTTGACACATTCACTCTTCAAATATAAAAAAATTTTAAAATTATAGTTATAGGAAGAGGGATAAAAGCGCTAATTCTCCCTAAAAATTTTGAAAATTATATGTATTGTTATATAAAAATACTTTTAAGTTAAAGCAAAAATTAATTTGACATCCGCAAAAGTTTCATTGCAGCTGTGATTAAGATGTGTGTGTTTCCATTTTTTTAAGAATATCAATTAAATTGGAAATGCTCCTAATTGAAAGGTAAAATAATTTCTAGTAAGATACACAATTTTGAGAGACAGATATCTTTGTTAGGTATCAAAATAACAGATTATTGATTAATATACTAGCAAAAATATAAAATTTGAGGGACTTGGACCTCTTAATATTTCTCTAGAACCCCAAAAGTTTAAAAAATTGAATGTATTGTTTTATAAAAACATATTATATTATAATATAATATTAGCCCCTTACCAAAAAAAATCTTTATTTTATATCCAAATATTGAGTATAATATTATCTCACTGGTCATAGTCATTTATTATAATTTATGATAATTTGTATTATTTTTACTGTCAAACATTCTATTCTTTTAAAAAACAAAAGTTCATAACGATTGGCGAGAGGGTTCTAGTGAGGAGACTTTTGAACGAGTTATCGAAGAACGCGATGTTTATTCGAAAGAAGGCATTTTAAAAGGAAAAATAGTCGTGGTAGAAAAAAAAACTGTGCATAAAAGCATTAAAGTAATTGAGGGCCCCGAACATAATAAAGTGACTAAACCTGCACTACATGAATTGGAAAGTTCAAGAAGCCGGTCTTCATCTTATGATAGTTTGTCATCTCCAACAATTCGAAGAAAAGTGTTTACGGGCACCAAATTACAATTTGATAATCATATTGAAGAAATCAAAAGTAAGCAATATTTTTTAAATAATTAGATTTTGATAAAAAAATATCACCTGTTTAAACATAAATAAAACTTATGATCGGAGTACGGTATTATATACACTTTAAATATGTTGTAAATATATACAAAAAACTGTAAATAATGCACTTTTAAAATTTGTTCTTTATACATATATATTAGGGTGTCCCTTATTTTGAAAATTTTGGAAATTCTTCGGGCTCACCCCCCAAATTTGTGTGTATACATATAAAAAGTGACTACAAAAAATTTCAGGCCGATCAGATAAGTTTAACCCGTGCCGACTTGGGGTTGAAAATCGGCCAAAAGGGGTACTTTTTTAGTTTTTAGCAATTAACTCGTAAATTAACGCTCTCACAAAAAAAAATATGTGAACTAAATTGTAGAACTAATTGTTTTGTATAAGTTAAGTCCTTACAGTTTTTCTTTTAAATCCATTAGTTTTCTAGAAAAATGTCAAAAAACATAATATTTCGTATAATTGCCGAAATTAGCATATTTACAAATATTTCATCATATATGACGAACCATATGTGATACGGTCTAATATTTCATACAAAAATTGTTTAAAATTAAATTTTACGAAATAAAAGTAATAAGTACAAATTTCATTGAACCGATTGTTTTATTGCTATAGCTGAAATAACTCGATCATATTACGATTTTTACTTAATATATGAATTTTATTGCTTAATTTAAATATATTTCATTTATATTGTAATGTGATGTATTTGTTTGACTTAAACGCATAATTATACTTACTTCTCAATATTATTGCATAAATAAAAAAAAAATTACTACATAAAATACAAAATGTTAAATTCAACAGTTGAAGCTTTAGATCATGACGTCGATTCTCATATTATAAATAAGTCTTCAATACATAGATGCCGTGATGCTATGCGAATTGAACGGGCTAATTTAATAAAAAAAAATTTTCAAAGTTGTCCTCCTATTTATGTCACTGTGTATTGGGATGGAAAGATTTTACCAGCATTAAATGTAAGAGATTTAGGAATTGATAGGTTATCGAAACTGAAAAATTCGACGGGATATGAACAAGCTATTGTGCGTTAGATGATTGGGACTTATTAAATATCGTCCAAGCTCTATGCTGCGATACCACCGCATCTAATATTTAAAAACTTATAAAAAAATTGGAATAATATTGATGTTTCTAATACGATCTGTGGAATAGATGACGTCGAATGTGCTCTGCACTTGAAAATTATCGAAATGATATTCTCCAATTTTCTAGGGAAATGTTGGGAATCGGATGTTTTAGAGATAATCATCCGATTATAAAGAATTGCTTAAGCTATCTATAATTTTTTTAAATGGTGACTCAGATAAAAAAATTAAAATACACCCTCCTGGAGCCATGCATCAAGCTCGTTGGATGAGTAATGCAATATATTGCTTAAAGGTTTTTTTTTACCGAAAACAGTATTTACTAAAAACTTTTGAAATAAATGCTATTCGATATATATGTATTTTTATTATTCGATTTTATTTAAAAGCCTGGTTTAACTGTACTGAACCGTCCAAAGCTCCGAATAACGACTTAAATTTTATCAAAGAATTAAAGTTATATGAACAACCGTTAATTGCGAAAGCAGCGTTAAACAAAATTTATAATCATTTATGGTACTTAACATAGGAAACAGCTGCTCTAACATTTTTTGACGATTCCATTTCAACAGAAATAAAAAAATTAATGGTTGTATTCCTTAATAATGAGTCAATAATAAACCCTAGCAAACGTTTTATTCTTTCATAGTGTGATATTGATAAATTATTTCAGGTATAATAATTTTTGATATCTTTATTTTTTGATGACTATTGAATAATTGATATTTTTTTTTAGAAAAAACTGTAGCTTCTTTTTTGTCAAAAGCAGTATGAAATTTTTTAAACGATTCGATATCAATACTAATTTTTTAAATTTGGATCCAAGTAATTGGAATACTGATAATTTTTATTTACACGGAAAAAAATTGTATGTTCACTTAAAGTAGTAAATGACTCTGCAGAGAGAGCGGTTAAGCTAATGGAAGATTTTCATGAAAGTTTAACTGTAAACGATGAAAAAGCTGAGTTACTTTTACGCTGTGTCCAAGAGCATAGAATACTATATCCAAATTGCAACAAAGAAACATTAAAACATAGTTTTTAATGTATATTTTTGTTATAATTTGTGAATTATTTTGAATTTAACATTTTGTATTTTATGTAGTAATTTTTTTTTTATTTATGCAATAATATTGAGAAGTAAGTATAATTATGCGTTTAAGTCAAACAAATACATCACATTACAATATAAATGAAATATATTTAAATTAAGCAATAAAATTCATATATTAAGTAAAAATCGTAATATGATCGAGTTATTTCAGCTATAGCAATAAAACAATCGGTTCAATGAAATTTGTACTTATTACTTTTATTTCGTAAAATTTAATTTTAAACAATTTTTGTATGAAACATTAGGCCGTATCACATATGGTTCGTCATATATGATGAAATATTTGTAAATATGCTAATTTCGGCAATTATACGAAATATTATGTTTTTTGACATTTTTCTAGAAAACTAATGGATTTAAAAGAAAAACTGTAAGGACTTAACTTATACAAAACAATTAGTTCTACAATTTAGTTCACATATTTTTTTTTGTGAGAGCGTTAATTTACGAGTTAATTGCTAAAAACTAAAAAAGTACCCCTTTTGGCCGATTTTCAACCCCAAGTCGGCACGGGTTAAACTTATCTGATCGGCCTGAAATTTTTTGTAGTCACTTTTTATATGTATACACACAAATTTGGGGGGTGAGCCCGAAGAATTTCCAAAATTTTCAAAATAAGGGACACCCTAATATATATATTATACTATCAATTGTTTAAAAAAGGAAGTATCTCAAAAAATATAGTCTATAATACAGACGCGGCGTCCTGTACAGTTCGATTCCGTGGGGGGGGAGTTTTTCCGTCCTCTCTCAAAGAATAATTAAGTTTCGTAGTTGAAAGGACGTTAAATAAAATTTAAAGAAAAATTTTGTTATAATCTATACTAAAGGCTTTTTAAGATTTTTTTCAAATATCAATAAAAAAAATTTTTAATATTTTAAGATACCAATTTCGTTAAATTTTTAGGCAAACTCTAAAATGCTTATTGGTTCCACTTATAAATTAAACAAAGTTTTTAAAAGTAATTCAAAATTTTGCTTAAAATGATCTCTGAAACATATAATTTAAGTAAAACTCAAATAGGTACCCCTCAATCACGTAAACTTGCGATCTGTTGGAGTTTGCCCTAAACTGGGCTCTACGTATCCGTATTTCAGGATTCTTGTTGAACCGATTGGAGGCCCTAGTTGTTCTACAAGTTAGGGTTCTCGTAACTCTTCGCTTGATAGGCATCATCAGATTCGTGTTTCGTCGATCGTGACCAGTCCAAGGTTATTTTATTAATACTGGTAAACGGGGGAATCTGGGAGCCCATTCTGTTTGGCCACATTGAGCGCAGTGGTCCTCGTAGTAGGAAACCCACCAGTAGTGGTGGGTTTCTGCGATTCACTTTAGAAAAGGCCTCCGCTATACTGAGTAAGAAAGAACTACGGCGTCACTTGGTTTATAACCTTGTCGTGTGACCTTATTTCTTATTGTGATAGGTAAATATCAGTAAGGTTTCCAGATATAGATTGGTAGACCCAAGACTTTCCGCATCGTCGTCTCCGGCTGCCGGGAGGCCAATTCGGACCGCCGGATCCTCCAGATGACGAGGAGTAACTATGACTATTTTAAAGTACTACTTGAAAATTTAAAGTTGATAATTGAGTTTAAATTTTAAACTCAAATAGATACATTTCAATCTCCTAAAAATTAAAAAAATAATAGTAATAGTGTAAAATTGGATTTAGAGTCATCAAAAACACAACATTTATTGTTTTGAACATAATTTTATGTTAAAATTTAGCCTTTACAAATATTTTCACGTTTTATTAAAATCAGTGTATCGAGAGGATGACGAATGAAAGGAACATATAAAGAAAATGAAAATACGGTTGTTGAAAAATTAATACTATTCAGTCAAAAGAAGTAAAATGATAGACACAAATTAAGACATAAAATTTTGATAAAAAAAGTTGTAAGATTTCAGCCAAACAGAGGGCCTACTAATTACCCACTGCCCAGGGGGAACACTGGACAGTGACCTAGTAGCCGCGCCAAACAAGATAGTACTTGTCGACGGAGCTACTAGGTTTTGATAAAAACAAATAAAAAACAAATATTAATAAAAATGAAGGAAAAATATAGGGAGGAAAAATAAAAGAGGCCATGAATAATATAATAACATTTTTTTATAATTATTATTTTAAATATATATATTTTCATAAAGGGAAGAATAATAAAAAAAAAAGGAAGCAAAAAGGAGGTGCAATATTAACAAGATTAATAATGGGTAGAACAGGGGGGTTTCACGTTATACTTGTTGTTGATTGTTGATTTGAGGAGTGACGGCCCACCACCGGCCATAGTTGTGCCTTACGCCATAATCATCATCATCATCACCATCTCGACGTTTTGTTTAAAATAAAAAAACGGAGGACAAAAAAAAAATACAATCTGGTTGACACCACAATAGACGGCAGGTCGACTCGACGTTTATTTTATACAAAAAAACGGAGGACAAAAAAAAATACAACCTGGTTGACACCACAGTAGACGGCAGGTCGACTCGACGTTTATTTTATAAAAAAAAACGGAGGACAAAAAAAATGCAAAAACGTGGTTTTTTTCAGAAACACAGCGGACAACTTGTCGCCTCGGCAGTATAGGGGGAAAAAAAAAAGTGTTGTAGCGGCAGTTGTGTAGTGGCCGGTGATCGTGACGCTGGGTGGTGGTGGTGCCAACTTTGAACACGTTCATTGAGGGGACATTACAATATTGGTATAGGTGCACAGTGTACGGTCAGCTGATGATGACAGATAACGGACCGGTTGACAAGTGGAGGTTATCATATACAAAATTATGAAAATACTCTACACCTATTGCACACACCTCTACTCTAATTTATAAGATTTTAATATAAAAAAAAAACTTGTATAAATTCTGCAACATTACAGAACCCCCCAAATAGATTAAACTATTGCAAATAGGGTGATCTATTTCAAAGGAATGGTGAAAGAATTTGTACATAACTTTAGGGAAAAGAGTATAGGGATCTTTGGTTAAGACGTGAAGAAAAACAAGCATGTTATAATATATAAGTTCAATTAGAGAAAATTAATAAAACATTTTATAAAAAAAAACAATGGGGAAATGGTGTCTTGAGGGTCTCAAATCCGCGAAACGCATGGGTTATGGGTAGTTGGCATGTCACCGCCCAGACGATGTTTCGGCAAAGCAGCGTACTACAACCCCTGGGACGTTACCATGCCACCATAACCACACACGGGGAAATGAGTCTCAAGACGGGGGTGGGGATTAATATTCAATAAAATGAAACAAAAATGTGCATCAACACATTAAACAATATTTTTTAACAAAAGAAAAATCAAAATCATATACATTATAACATTATGAAGACTCATATGGAATTTTAGAAAGAGAAGGAATATACTTTTTTAGATGGACTATGTTTTAAGTGGAAGGGCTGGATAAATGTTAAGCTTAAAAAAATTTTCAGGAAGTATAGAAGGGTCGGGGGGAATAGGTTCTTTAAAATCAAAATGCATTATAGCGGGAAGATCTAAAGGAGTTTGGTCATCACGACCTAAGGGATGACGGGAGAGAGTATCAAGGGGATTTTCTTTTCCAGGACAATAATGAAAACTATGTAAATATTTATTGATTAATGAGTCTATTGAATATTGATGTTTATTGTTAAGGAGCATATCATCAAGAGCACAGTTTTTTGTTGAAGGGAAAGGAGAAGAATGTTCAGCATTAAAATTAGTTTGGGTAGACAGAGAATCTTTAAACAAATTATTGAAAAGAGTGGATGGAAGGGTTGGTTGACTAGGAAAAGTTGAATGGGGATCAGTATCAAATTGTTTGGGTTGAGGGGAAAAAATGGTAGAAGACATTTGAGGGCCAAAAGAGAATCTAAGTTTTTTGGGATTTTCAGTTTCAATATGAGATTTTTGAGATAAAGGAGGCATTACATTAGGGTCAGGAATATATAATGGAAGTTTTTGGACAGAGGTTTCAAAGGCAGCTAACCTAGCAGCTTGACCTTCAACTAAGGATTTGCATTCTGCCTTGCTACTTTCAAGTAATTGTAATAATTTAGTATTGATTTTGGTCATGTCTTTTTTAAGATCAGAAAAAGCAGTTTGGCATTGACGTTGGGATTCTTCGAATTGTTTTTTAGAGTCAGCATGGAATTCAATTAAAAGGGAACGAAGGTCAGAATTAGGATCATCATGAGGTGGAGAAGTGGAACGAATAGTAATATTATCTTCGTTGTCAGACATATTAAGAGATAAATCAAAAGTAGGTAATATGGAAGGAGGGGGATAGGAAACACTAGGATTATATCTGTCAGGAACTTTTGTTTGTCTTTTTCCTGCACCTTTCATTAAAAATGGCAATAAAAAAAATTACTATAATAAAATTTATATAACAGATAGAAATATTTAACAGAAAGTTTACTCTATAAAATAATTAACTAAATGAAAATGTATTTAAATTGTTCAAAGAAAAAGTTAAGGGAAGGAAAATTAACTAATTATTAACACATGAAATTATCATAAGATACAAAAGAATTAAATTTACAAATTAGCTAAAAAGAAAATTTGATCAAAAGGATCAGCCAAATAACAAATTTGACTAATTAAATTATACTAGTTAAATTATAAGGAGATTTACTAGGAATTTATTAAATAAGAGATTCAGTTACAAAATAATGGATAGTATTGACCAAACAATAGTCAAAATAATAAAAGATTAATTCAAAAGAAAAGGATTAATTAAATGAACTAATATTTACATTAAATTTAACTATATAAAAAGTAAATGTACAGGTAAAAGGTAATAAGAACACCTCAAATAACAAAATTGGATTAAATATACAGTTTAACCAGAATAATATATGATTAAATAAAATTTAACCAGACAGTTTAACTTAAAAGGAGTATTAAGAGAAAGAAAGAATAAAAAAAATCTATAAAAGTTCAACAGCAGGATTAAACAACAAAAATAATTTAAAAGATAAGGATTTGAACTAACAGAATTTAACTAAAATAAATTTGTTAATCAAAACAATAAACTGGATTAATCAAATAAATTACTAAAAAGATAAATGGTTGACAGAAGTCAATGTTAATATAGCAAGGGTCTGTGTTAAAACAGCAACCACTAAGTAAAAATATGTTGACAAGCAACTAAGTAACTATAAGAGTTAAGAGGAGTGGTTATAAAAACCGTGGATAGCACAAATATATAAATATAAGATATCAAATAATATAGGTTATGGCCTTAGGTGGGTCACTGTATCTCAAGTACATTTTCAATCAACAACAATATTCCATAGAAACAAAAATAAATAATCAGAGAAAAAGGGAAAGTGAAGGGAGGAGTGGTGTCATGAGGGCCTCAAATCCGCGAAACGCATGGGTTATGGTTAGTTGGCATGTCACCGCCCAGACGATGTTTCGGCAAAGTAGCGTACTCCAACCCCTGGGACGTTACCATGCCACCATAACCACACACGGGGAAATGAGTCTCATGACGGGAGAGGGAAGTGTGGGGAGTCAAAGTTAAAACTGAAATAACAAGGAGTATTAATGCACCATTACAAAGTTCTAATAATATTTAAACATGGTCATGTAAAATAAAAAAAAAATATATATAAGGATGGAGATTTAATAGGATGNAAAAAAAATATATAAGAATGGAGATTTAATAGGGAGAATGAAGAAAGAGAGATATTTTAAATAAGAATAATGGCTAATAATGGCTAAGCAAAAGGTAAAATATAGAGAAGTTTTTCAATATTGAAAATAAGGATTAGGGGAAGTGGGCATACTAGTATCACTAACCACCAATTATTAGTGATAGCAGACAAGATACTACATTGAAAATTAATTAGGTTTTCACAATGTTACACCACTACTGTTGTTTAAAAGGGGAACATGATCATGAACACAATGTCATACATAAAAAGAGAAAGGGAGAAGAAAGTTAACCCATAAAAATGAAAGAAAATTAAGTAAAATATTAGAGATCACTTTAAATTCAACTTGTATGCGCATAGATAGGGCAAGTAAATAAACAAAACAATTATAAAGTAAAGGTTACTTGGGCATCATTAATGATAGTACCAAACAAAAGACATGTCAACTGATCCAATAACCATACACCAATCCATCAAACACTGTACCGTACAACATATGCTAAAAAAATTTATGGGATTAACAAACATAATATAATGGGGGAAAACAAAATTAAAAATGGTGGATATTACCTGTATAGGTATTACAACAGTAGGGTTTGCACAAGGAAATAAAGGAGTAGGGAGTCAAAGGTATATATTTCATTTTTTTTTTCAATTTTTTAGCCAAAATTCAAATTTTTTTTTTTTATATTATACATGTTTTTTAATAAAATTTAGGGGAGAGTCCTGTCACGGTCGCCATGTGTAAGGTTTCAGCCAAACAGAGGGCCTACTAATTACCCACTGCCCAGGGGGAACACTGGACAGTGACCTAGTAGCCGCGCCAAACAAGATAGTACTTGTCGACGGAGCTACTAGGTTTTGATAAAAACAAATAAAAAACAAATATTAATAAAAATGAAGGAAAAATATAGGGAGAAAAATAAAAGAGGCCATGAATAATATAATAACATTTTTTTTTATAATTATTATTTTAAATATATATATTTTCATAAAGGGAAGAATAATAAAAAAAAAAAGGAAGCAAAAAGGAGGTGCAATATTAACAAGATTAATAATGGGTAGAACAGGGGGGTTTCACGTTATACTTGTTGTTGATTGTTGATTTGAGGAGTGACGGCCCACCACCGGCCATAGTTGTGCCTTACGCCATAATCATCATCATCATCACCATCTCGACGTTTTGTTTAAAATAAAAAAACGGAGGACAAAAAAAAAATACAATCTGGTTGACACCACAATAGACGGCAGGTCGACTCGACGTTTATTTTATACAAAAAAACGGAGGACAAAAAAAAATACAACCTGGTTGACACCACAGTAGACGGCAGGTCGACTCGACGTTTATTTTATACAAAAAAACGGAGGACAAAAAAAAAAAAACCTGGTTGACACCACAGTAGACGGCAGGTCGACTCGACGTTTATTTTATAAAAAAAAACGGAGGACAAAAAAAAATACAAAAACGTGGTTTTTACAGAAAACCAACGGACAACTTGTCGCCTCGGCAATACAGGTGAAGAAAAAAAAAAGTTGTAGCGGCAGTTGTGTAGTGGCCGGTGATCGTGACGCCGGGTGGTGGTGGTGCCAACTTTGAACACGTTCATTGAGGGGACATTACAAAGGTGTAGGGATGCACTGTGTGCGGTCAACTGTCACAACAAACCGGGTACTGACCATTGGATCGGTTGATTGGTATATAAACTAATTTAATAATTGGGGACATACATAATACCTAATGCACACACTATTAACTGATAAGATTAATATAAAAAAAACTTGTATAAATTCTGCAACATTACAAAGTAAAAGAAGGAGATCCGGTAAAATACATTAGAAGACGACCAAATACAGACTTTGTGAACTAACTCATATGAAAAGAATAATAGAAAACAATTTTACAAAACATCAGGCGATTTATTGAGGATTAGACAATCATTTGCTATGGAAATTATTAAAAATTTGTAATTTTTATTAAGGAAAATATTATTTGACTCCAAAAACTCTACAATAATATATANAAGGAAAATATTATTTGACTCCAAAAACTCTACAATAATATATAGTTAAATAGTTTTTTTTATCCCATCAAAATTAAAAAACTTCAACATTATTTTCTATATTAATGTTCCTTAACAATTAACTTGACGGTTGATTGTTAAACTAAACTAATCTTTAGTGAAGAATTACTAGTTGGGTGTAGTTTAATGTTTTTATTTATAGTAGCTACTGCCAAATAAAATAAATTGAATTAAGGCAGAAATTCTAAAAAATGTTTTGTTAACCGAGTTTTTGATCATTATGATTCTAAATGAAAATTATATATAATTATAACGTATTCATTTCAATGCATTGAAATACATTTATTATTATTATTATTATTATTATTATTATATCTAATTTAATTAGTTTATTGTAGTCTATACTAAGATTTTATGTGAAATTATTGACTATTGGGGAGACATATTATTAATGATGTTCTATCAATTATATTATGTTTATCGTCGCCTTATCCCGTAAAATATACAAATAAATAAATGAAATAATTTTTAATTTTATATTTTTTCATATAGCATTAAAACAATAATGTTGTTTCAGTATCATTGAGTATAGGATACTATTTATACTCAATGCTAGTGCTAATAAACTACCAGCGCGACGGTTAATTTTTTTATTTGCATTTTTAGTAACACGTGTGCTCCACTTAATAACTAATGTTTTGTTTCATCCATAAAAGATATAAACTAAATGTTTATGATTTATTTACAACTAATTGAATGCATATAACATTACTTATTTTTTGAACTGTTTAATTTTTAATGACGACCGTTGAAGTATTTTTTTTACTAAAGTATATTTTTTATTTTGCTTATATAAATAATGAAGTTTTTGAAGTGTTTAAATTTCAATGAAAGGATAGGTTATAGTTCTTAAAATGGCATGTTTGAAACTCATTATTCAATTTAAAGTTAGGAAGTTAGAAAAACAACAATAATCATTAAGATTCTAATAATATACGTATAAATAAGTTTAAATATTTAGAACTTGCCATGAAATTATTAAAGAACGTGTTAACAAATAACTAACAATGGTGGACTTGGTGGTTAACATCTAATTAATATCCACGCAGGTTAATTGTGCTCCATTTAAACCAAAAAAATTTTAATGTCAACCCATTGTATGACGTTTTAGTGTTATTTCTAAAACATTATGTAGTATATTTAACAAATTCTTATAGTTAAAATGACTTTAGTAAAAAGGACTAGTTTAATTTAGAGTTGGGTGAACGAAATTGTAAACAATATATATTTATACTAATTTATCATGTATTATTTCAAATTTCTAAACGACTTTTTTTATAAAGATTTATAAAAATAAAAGTCATTACAAATGTAAAAATACTAAAACATAAATAATATGTATAAAATTCTTACAAGGTGATTCATGAAAGATAAAACAGTCATATTTAAGCTCAGCTTAATACTATAATGTGCTTTAGCAAAACTTGTGTTTAAAATTGTCGTGCAAAGTGCAAGCCGTTTAATANTTGGGTGAACGAAATTGTAAACAATATATATTTATACTAATTTATCATGTATTATTTCAAATTTCTAAACGACTTTTTTTATAAAGATTTATAAAAATAAAAGTCATTACAAATGTAAAAATACTAAAACATAAATAATATGTATAAAATTCTTACAAGGTGATTCATGAAAGATAAAACAGTCATATTTAAGCTTAGCTTAATACTATAATGTGCTTTAGCAAAACTTGTGTTTAAAATTGTCGTGCAAAGTGCAAGCCGTTTAATATAATATCGATTAAACTTTTGTGTCTTATTGCATTATTATATTGTCAGTTCATCTACTAGTTCGGTGACAACCTGAATTGTAAATAATTTATCTACTGTTCTATACAATTCAAGTTTTTAGAATTATTATATTACTACTATAAAGCACGGAATCATGTATTTTTTCATATTATTGTTCGTCTTTAAAATAAATGTCATTTATGTCAATAATAATATTTATTTATTTTTATTGTAGATGAGCAGGAGAGAGTCCAAAAAAAGACTTTTGTAAACTGGATCAATTCTTATTTATGCCAAGTAATTAAAGAATATTATAGTTTTTAATTTTGTTTTATGATTATTTGGTTAAATTTTAAAGAGAATACCTCCATTGAAAATTGATGATTTAATTGAGGATCTAAGAGATGGAACCAAATTGCTTGCATTATTGGAAGTTCTATCTGGAGAAAGACTAGTAATTATAAAATTCAGAATTTTTTAGCTTAAGCTTCAATGCAAAGCTGAAAAGGTATTCAAATTATAACTTTATATATATATATATCTATTTGTTATTTTTAGCCTATTGAGCGTGGTCGTAACATGAAAAGACCTCATTTTTTGAGTAATATAAATACAGCAATACAGTTTTTACAAAGCAAAAGAGTGAGATAATAATATATTGAAATCTTAATGATATATTTTTTGCATTATTTTATATTCATATAAAATGCATAATTATTTATTATTATTTCTTATTTATATATTTCTAGATAAAGTTAGTAAATATTAATTCTTCGGATATTGTTGATGGTAGACCTCCAATTGTCTTAGGTCTGATATGGACAATAATTTTGTATTTCCAGGTAATTGAAAATGTATTTTTAGTAATTAATTAAATGATAATTTTAAATTATTTATTCCAAGCTTGGTCGTAAAACTGGATTTACTGTTATTACTAACAATGTAAGTTTTAAAAGTAATGTTAATTCATAGAGTTGCTATATAAGTTATATATAAGTTTACTATATATAGTAAATTATAATTTATTTGTATTAAATAATAGTTTAAGCATTTAATAATTGGCACAATTTGACTATATGAAGAGTCTACTATTAGACTCTGAGGTGAATGTCATATTAGAGGGAACTTTTAACTCGTTAACTGTCTCTTTATTATTATTTATTTTTTAATAAATAATAATTTATATTGGCTGTTTGCAGGCTGATTGGCTTGAGTGACATTTTACCAAAAATTTTTGGAGACGTTTGATTTGAAATTTTTATATCACTTTTATATCTTTTGAAAAAAATGAAATTAATAAAAGTTTCAATCACGCCAATAGCTTGCAAATATTACCAATGTTATAATTTTGATTCAATAAATAAAAAATATTGAATGTTCAAAATATTACTTTGTTTATTTTTACGTTGTTTGCCACTGAATTTAATTAAAATATGTAGTGTTTTTGCTTATAGATTGAAGAAAATACAAAAACATTATTATCTTTGAATTACACATTTAGTGAAAGTACAAGTAGCTTGGATAGTATTAAATCACCTACAATGGAAATAAATAAAAAATCGGATGGTGCTAAAAAGACTTTGTTAAAGTGGGTTGCTACTGTTATACCTAGGTAAGAAATAAAATAATTAAGATTAACTAGTATCAGATGCTACGAAGTACTAGGTTGCTTTACAAAAAATACCACAACTACTAGAAAGGTAGCAAAAATAATTCTCTAACGGCCTCCAATAGCCTGATTTAGTATAATATTTGCTGTATATTTTGAATAGATAGGTAAAAATTATATTAGAAATTTTAATTTTAATCTTAATTCAGGGTAATGAGTGGTGACTCCCACTAAACTACTTTATTACACAAAATTGAATGTTAGATAGTTTTAGTTGAAATTTCCATTACAAAATATATTGACAAAATGTCATCAATAAAAAAAAATATTTCGAAACCATTATAATTTTTTCAGGGCAGCGTTGCCTTAAGATATGAAATAAATAAAATAGATCACATATTCTGTTCAAATGCGGGACTGCTTGATGGTAACCCATTATTTACCAATGACTTATGGTCGAATCTTGTTAATATAGTCCCTTTAATTTAGAAAGTAANTCGAATCTTGTTAATATAGTCGCTTTAATTTAGAAAGTATACTTAATATTTCATACTAAATTTTAAACAATTTTAGGGAGAGTAATATTCATGTAAAAGATTTTGGACCTAGTTGGAGAGATGGATTTGCTTTTCTTAAAATAATAGATACAATAAAAACTGACTTAGTTGATATAACTACATTAAGTGGAGAAACAAATAAAACACGTTTAGAAACTGCATTTAATGTTGCAGAACAAGATCTTGGAATTGCTCGTTTACTCGATCCAGAAGTATGTAGATTTTTTTGATTATAATATAAATTGAATAAAAATTGTTTAACAACTAATTTATTTTTAATGTTTTTAAATAATCTAATTTATAAATTAATCGAAAATTGTATTGATTTAATATTAGGATGTTGATGTAGACCGACCAGATGAACGATCTGTTATGACTTATGTTGCACAATTTGTTCATAAATATCCTGAAGTTCGTAGTGATAGTGGAGAATCAATTGATACGATTCAAAAAGACTACACTATTTTATTATTGTGGTTAACAGAAAAAACCGAATTTTTGTCCTGGACACAAAATTTATCGCATGACTATGAAGTATGTAATATTAATAAAATATCATAAATCTAAATTTATAATAACTTCATACATTTATTTAAAAAAAACAAGTAATTGTATTTTTTTAATACGACTAGATCAATCAGCATCTACAAAAAATAAAAATATGAATATTAAAATGTAATTTATTACTTTGAATTGAAAAATTTTGGTCCACTAAAATTTTAACTTTATACTACCTAGTTATCCAATAAAATTCAATATATTTTTATTTAATAATTACTGAGTCATAAATTAATAAGCTTAATAGAAGTTTAACTTTTTATATTAATTGTAGTTACCACCTTAAGAAATTTTGTTTTTTATATAGGATTTTTTAAAAACTCAAGATAAAATTTGTTCAATGAGTATTTTATACCAAAAGTTAAAAAATATATGTACTTCAGGAGCGACAATAAGTATATCAACCCAGTCATGGACTGAAGTTGAACGACTGTGGCAGCTATTAGACAATTTAGTAAGTGCATAAATTTCAATTTTACTTACCTATAATTTTTTCATAGTAGTACAAAAATATCTAATATTGTCTTGAGAATGTATATTACTAATGTGATAATTTAAAAATAAAATTATAGATGAAAAATTGGCAATGGCAGCTGGATAATTTATTACCAGAACCATTTAGAGTTATTGTTGAATGGATAACGAAAGCCGAGCAACTCATTAAAGACGATAAAATTCCTTCTGTTATGAATGAACAAACTGCTGTGATTATAAGTAAAAAATTAGAAGATCATAAGGTAAATTAATAAATAAATTTATTCTTAACATAGTATTGGTTGAAAACTATGTTATAGTTGTTTAAAATTATGTTATAGTTGTTTTTTACTGATTTGCCTGAGGTTAAACAAAAATTTAACGAACTTTTAACCAAGTCGAGAAGTCAAAATAAACAAGTGCAAAACTTGAGTATGCGTTTTAATATAATCGAAACAGAATCTCAAAAAAGACGTTGTCGCCTTAAATATTTGGAACATAAGGTAAACGTATGGATTTAACTCAATCATTTATTAAATATGTAACCACTATACATGCAATTAGCTACTTTGAATGAAATAAAAATTAAAAGCATGTTGATTTTGTTCGTAATTAAAATATATGTATTATATTTATAGTGTTGTTTGATCGCATTTTTAAACTTAACTGAAAATAAATTAAAAGCATGGACTGTGAAATATGGTCGTTTACAAGACGTTATGATATTACTGGAAAAATATAATAATTTCGTAATAGGAAATAATATTTTTCAAGAATTTAATAAAGCATTTATAGACATGAAAAATGTGTTTCAAGAGTATAAACAAGAGTGTCATATAGACTACAAAGAAACAATAGCAGTTGAAAAATTTTTAAGACAAACTGCTGAACAGTGGAAAAATATCGCAATGGAACTGAGATGTGCTCACAGTATGCTTGAAGAAGTAGTATTATATTGGAAACGCTGGAAAGTATTGTCTGATGAGTTAAAAGCGTGGCTTCAAGTCTCAATGACAAAAATAAATCTATCTAATGAAGAACAAATTGAATATTTTCAAGTAAATTTTTAAATTATTTTTATATACGTTATTTTATATTGAATATATTTCTTTAGAATATTGGGGTGTGGAAAGAAAAATATGAATTACTTAATGACGCTGTCAGCTTTTTAGTCGTAACATGTGAGGAGTCTACTGCTGAATCACTCAAACAAGAGTTCATGAATATTTCTCACTTGTGGGATAGTGTATTTTCAGTAAGTTTGTTTTATTTAATAAAATACTATTAAAGTATGTGAATGATTTGATATACCTAATTTACAACATTTTATACTTTTAGAATGCTAAAAACTACTTACAATCTGGGGATCTAAATAGAATCAGAAAAGAATATTTTGAAGGATTCGAAATATTACATAAATGGATTATTCGAGCAGATCAAATTATGTCTACTATAAATTTGAATTCGTCTGAGAAAATTAAAGTTGGGATTAAAAATATTCAAGTAAATAATTATTTTTTTACTGAATATAGAACACAAAAAATTAAAAATAATTGTATTTAGACTTTACAAGATGAATTAGGTCAAATGGATGATCTATTTAAAGCTATAAGTAAAAAATTTCAAATACTCATTAAAGATTTGTCAAGAGAAGAAGTAAATGATATGATGCTCTGTTTAAAAAGAGAAAAAGGTATAAAGTATTGAATTTCTTATGAACAAATGAAATGGATTTTAATTATTTTTTGTAGAATCTCTCGTCAATATAAGAGCAAATATACCTGTACAATTAAACGCTTTACATCATGTATTAGTACAATACGACGCTTTGGAGTCTGGTCAAAGAGAAATTAATGAATGGCTTGATGGATGTGAACATTTTATATTTTCTTTAAATATAAGTGTCAGTAAAGAAAAATTACAAAGTGATCTTGAAAATTTAAAGGTAATTTTGATTTTTAGTGAAAATTAACACTTAAGCATTACAATCTAGAATTATATTCTTTAAGTTTTAATGATATTTTTTTATCTATTATTTGGAAAGTTTTTAAAAATTGTGTGGTTTTTGTATGTTTTAAATGTGATATTTTAATACTCTCAAATAACTATGAACTTAGATAGAAATAATCGTTTATATTAGGTAATTGAAATAAGAAAATTTCACATTTAAACTTAAATTAAAAAATTTAAAAAACAAATTAGAAGTATAAACTGTATATCAAGAGATGATCTATCGTGAGCATGCATCAAAAGCACAAAAAATATTATGGTTAAATTATTGTTTTAGTTATGTTATACATGCCCTATAATATTTTTATGAAGATAATTATTTTTTGTCTTTTCACTGTTGCTCATTTTTCCACGTGTTTTTGAGGGTCTATCCGGAATCATCCGCCAACAAATAAACAAAAATAAAACAATAAGAAAGTGCCTCTTCGATCCAAAATACAGTTCATTTTAAAATTATTTTAAGTACTGTTTGAACGAAAATATCTAGTATGTGGTTGCAGAAGTTATATCAGATGACGCTATTTTGTTAAGTTAACGCATAATTTTTCTTTGTTTATGATATTTTGTTGTTGTTTAACGCAAGATCATTTCATGACTAATCAATTCCTAACATCAATATGATTTATATCAAACCGTTTATATAACTGTTCGAGATTTAGACATCTTGAATAAAAATTCAAATGAAAGTGTGGATGTTTTAAAATTTAAGCATAGCAAATCTTACTGAAGTTTTCGAGATGTTTAAGAATTATTTTCAAAGTTTTCTAGTGATTATGCTTATCTAAGTAACCAGTGAATAAAGAAATGTCTATTTTACTACGTTCCAATTTCTACATACAGAGATTGAATATCTAGCATACTGAATTTGTAAAATCAGTGGAGGATTTTAAACATTGATAACTGCTGTGGTAATGAAGTTTCCTCCATCTAAGTCAATGAATGTAATGGAGAATTTTCTTAGCTTACTGAATACTTTAGAAATTATATAAAAAACTATTCATTAATTTTTAAATTCTTAAATTCTCTATTGTATATTGAAGTTAAGTTGAAATTTATAAAAACACAAAAAAATGTTATGAATATATTGAAAAAAAATTGGTGGATAGTTCTTCATATTTAAAGAAAGATCGGTTAATCATAAACAATTCAATAACTCTCAAAACAAATACTATATTAAAAAAAAAAAATGTTTGATTTCTTTTAGATACATAATTTTTTTGATTTTTCAGCTATAAATTCTATTTTATAATCATCCCTACTAAAACATATAGAGGTATCAACTTTATTTTAGTTTCGATGCGAAACTGAGAGGGTATTAATTTTACCATGTGTTTATTTATTTTTTATTATTTTTAGCTTCGATGCGAAGCTGAGAAGGTATTAATTTTACTATGATGTGTTTTTTTTTTTATTTTTTTATTTTTTTTTTTGTGTCTGTGAACGCTCAATCTCAGCTCTCGCTGGACCGATTTTGATGAACAATATGTCAAAAAATCACAAATCGTATCTAGTCGAAGACATTACCCTCAAAAATTGATAAAAATTCCCTGGTTCCTCGTAAACGGGGGAAATCCCCCAAAAAATTACAAATTTAAAAATCGCTAATTTTCGATATTTTTTCAATTTTTTTTACTTAAAATTGCCATAACTTTTTTAAAAATGACCGAATCAATATAATTTTTTTTTTTATAGATACCTTAGATAATTACCTATCATTTTATATATTTTTGTGAACATTTGACCCTTTAACAGCCCACAGAAAGGGTTTCAAAATGATTACTTTTTTATAAAAAATTAACTTTTTCAACTTAACTTTTAAAAATGTTCCTGAAAGACTGACACTTTTATATATATCTTAAATTAAAGCTTATGTAATATACTTTAATTTGAAAAAAAAAAATTTGACCTCTGGACTTGTCTTCGTGGTGAAAACGGACATCAAAGTTAAAGAAAAACGTACGATTTCCGTGAAAAAAATCTCGATTTTATATGTTATATTATTTAATTTATATTTTATATAACTTTTGGAAAAATGTATGGATCTATATTATTATTTTTTTATAATAAATATTTATATACCCCTTTCATCTGGCACGCTTTTTTTGTAAATCGGATCATACCCCTTTAACAAGGGGGGTCAAAACTTTAAACATGCGTATTGTTACTAAGATATTTTCAATTTAATTTTTGAAAGTATTCCGGAAATACTGACACTTTTATATATATCTTAAATTAATGCTTATGTATAGACTTTAATTTGAAAACAAAAAATTTGACCTCTGGATTTATCTTCATGGTAAAAACCGGACATCAAAGTTAAAGAAAAACGTACGATTTCCGTGAAAAAAATCTCGATTTTATATGTTATATTATTTAATTTATATTTTATATAACTTTTGGAAAAATGTATGGATCAATATTATTATTTTTTTATAATAAATATTTATATACCCCTTTCATCTGGCACGCTTTTTTTGTAAATCGGATCATACCCCTTTAACAAGGGGGGTCAAAACTTTAAACATGCGTATTGTTACTAAGATATTTTCAATTTAATTTTTGAAAGTATTCCGGAAATACTGACACTTTTAAATATATCTTAAATTAAAGCTTATGTAATATACTTTAATGTGAAAAAAAAAAATTTGACCTCTGGATTTGTCTTCATGGTAAAAATGACTACCGTATGCAAAAATATGCTATTTTTGTGTTAAAATTCTGGGTTTTGTATTTTATTTTATTTTAAAATACCTGACAAGGGGAGTACAGATTTTCATAAATATTATATAAATAAAAAATTAATATAGCATAGAAAGTTAAACTTATTTAAATTTGTTTGCTTCTTTTATGTCTAGAAAAATAACTTTGAAATTTGCACTAACTTAAATAGTCAATTTTTTCAATTGTCGGTATCGACGTACGGTTGCCGAGTTGGTAAGACTTATATTTTACACGCTTGGGGTACGAGGTTCNTTATGTTTTACACGCTTGGGGTACGAGGTTCCAACCCGCATATGGCAATGAATTTTTTGCATTTTTTCTTAATTCTTTTTAAGTTAGTATAAATTTTGAACTCGTTTGATTTTTATCTCATTTAGCTTCAATAACTTCAATAAAGATCAAGGATCCCATAATTTTAGTCGCCCCTTGAAAGAAGAAATTTCTTATTCGTATTAAAATTATTTTACTATATTTTAAGTTTTCGCCTTCGATGCAAAGCTGAGAAGATATATTTTTGTGACTATCATTTATTTCTCTGCTCTAACTTGACCTACTTTTTTCAACGATACGTCAAATAATTACAATACGTATCTAGTTGAAGATATTACACTAAAAAATTGAAAAAAAATTTCAATTTATCAATTAAACAGTTAGTTATTCCATTTTCTCCATAAACACAATTAAAATCATTAATTTGTAATGTTTTCAAAGTATTTATTGACGAATGAAGTTTGATATGATAAAAGTATTCAACTACAAAATTTAATCATATTACTTTGTAATTTAATAGTTTTTTTATTCTATTTGTGTGTGCTACTACTAGACTATAATATTTAAAATTTTTTCGTAACATGTTGCTATATCAATCATTTCTAAAAAAAATGATTGTTTTTTCTCCTGAATTAACAATTGATTTTTACAAATATAATCAAATNTAAAAAAAATGATTGTTTTTTCTCCTGAATTAACAATTGATTTTTTCAAATATAATCAAATTTTATAATACGCTCAATTGAGTAAATCTTTTTAACAACTTTGTTTTGATTGGTACATTTAGTTAAAGTAAATCATTAAAATTAATTAAGTTTTCAATATTTCAATTGTAGAATCTTTTCAAAAAACATAACTTATTAGGAATTTATTACTATTACTTCTATTTAAGTTATCTATTACTTTAAAAATGCAAAAAAATATTGAGCTTTTCTGATAAATTTACAATAAATACTTTCTGACTGGATATTGATCTTAACGATACAATTTTTTTAATTGTCATAAAATTTTCTATTTAATGATGTCAATGTCAAACTTACCAATTGA